AATTTTATTTGTTTCTCCTTCCGTGGTATACTGAGATTCTTTTCATTTATTATTTGCATGCATTGTTACTCAAAACAGATGTAATTAATACATGCATTTTGTTCCTTTGTAAAATTACTACAATTTATGGTGCATAATGTATTTTAATGTATGTCTTGAAAGGATATACATTCTCAATGTTTCTGTTATGGCCAATTTTATATCTGGATCCCATCCTTGTTCTCCTTTCTTTAAAATGAATGCTGGGATTTTTTAAAAGAAGAATGTTGAAAAGGGAGTACATAGAAATAAACATAATCAGATGTCAATATAAATTCATTTGTAGTTATGTTACAATCAAAATCTAAATTATTGAGAGTCAGATGACATACTTTTTTAAGCTGCCACATTACACAGAATGGAACAGTAAAGAATGGCAGTTAACATCACAAATTGACCACAAGATTTGTTTTGTTTTGTTTGTTTTTGCAACATATAGAGGAAACATTCACACATCCATGTACAATTTATAATTTTGTTTCTTTTCCAAATAGCTTATGGGACCTTATGCTGAAATGAAACTCTAGAAATGCAATAACAGTAATTGTGAGAGGGACCTTGGAGTCCTAATGGTCGATCACTTAAACATGAGTCAGCAGTGTGCGGCAGCAGCCAAAAAAGCTAATACAATCCTTGGTTATATAAACAGAGGCATAGAATCAAAATCATGTGAAGTATTAGTATTGCTTTATAAAGCCTTAGTACGGCCACATCTGGAATACTGCATCCAGTTTTGGTCACCATATTACAAAAAAGATGTTGAGACTTTGGAAAAAGTTCAAAGAAGAGCAACTAAGATGATTAAAGGCCTGGAGACTAAAACATATGATGAACGGTTGTAGGATTTTGGAATGGACAATCTAGAGAAAAGAAGGTCCAAGGGGGACGTGATAGTATTTGAACCAGAATGCAAGACAGGAAACAACAGATGGAAACTAATCAAGGAGAGAAGCAACCTGGAATTAAGGAGAAACTTCCTAGAAGTGAGGACAGTTGCTTTCAGACGTTGTGGGTGCTTCATCACTTGAGGTTTTTAAGAAGAGACTGGACAACCACTTGTCTGAAATGATATAGGGACTACTGCTTGAGCAGGGGACTAGACTAGAAGACCTCCAAGGTTCCTTCCAGCTCTATTCTGATTAAATAAATGTACATGAATATCAGCAATATATTTGATATTTCCATATAATTAGATTTTGGGGCCCTGGGAAATCTTAATGCTTAAGAATGTTTTTAGGCTTAATTATATTCAAATTCTATGAGTATGAAATATAGTTTGCATTGAAAACAGATTTACACTAGGTAGACTAGAAGATAAGAGGAGAGAAAATAATAGCAGATTTAATATGATCTGTGATGCTTTAGGTCATCTTCAGAAAATGAGGGATTTCTACCTCCAACGTCTAAGTGAAAAACAGGAAATCTAATGTGTGAAAATTTGATGTTGTCTTAGGAACAATGGAAGAGGAAGATCCTGAAGGGAAAAACAAAGTCTTTGTGCTCAGAAGATCCCAAGTTCAGTCCTAGATATATCTAGGTATAATGAAAATACTATCTAAACTCAAACCTCTATATTTTCTACCGATGACTCATAAGTATAAACAGCTTCCTATGCTCCAAAAGAATTTACCCCACTTACTTTTGTCATTTTCAAAATTCTGAAATAGCTTCATCTCGGTGCCTATACAATACAAAATAGTTTGTAATCCTTATACAAGTGATGGCAAACCTTTTAGAGACTGAGTGCCCAAACTGCAACCCAAAACCCACTTATGCATCGTCGAGTGCCAGGTGGGCATGGCCCATTGGATGGGCATGGCTGTGGTGGTAACGGCAGACTGGGTGGGACTAAAAAGTTCAATCAATCAATTCCAACTTTGCAAGATCTTTTTTCTCCTGTGAGAAGTTGAAATTGACTGAATGAAACTTTTTCTTTTTTTGCACAGGGTGGTGGAAGCCTAAAGCGAAAAGGTTTTATAAAACCCAGCTGAAGGCCTAGGACTGGGGCGACGGTGCGTGTGCCCACAGAGAGGGCTCTGAGTGCCGCCTCTGGCACTTGTGCCATAGGTTCGCCACCACTGCCTTATATGCTGCAGTTCCACTAGCCATTTCTGTGTGAGCCAAGCCAGTTGCTAATGTGCATAAAGTAGCCTGTTGCATCTAAAGTCAGAGATGCAGCTTGGTCTCAAACTATGACATGTTCTCTGAGAATCTCTCCAGTTTCTGCATGCAGAGCAAAGTGGATAATATCCACTCTTCTTCCTCTTAGTTTTATTTGCTTGTGAGAGAAATAACAAAGGAAGAAAGGAGAAAATCTCCCTTACAGCACCCAAAACATGACATTTATGTATTGTAAAATGTTCTGTCCCAGACAAAGCATTAACTACCTGGAAGAAAAACATCTGGATAGTGTACAGCAAATGAATTAACTACTGTGCATTTATTATGTGAATGGAAGATTATTTGGAAAGGCCCTCAGGTTTCTGATACTGAAGACTGAGAGACATAATTGCACAGCCTAACTGGGATGCCACAGGGATATTTAAAAAGTTGCTAATACATTTTTTGTGGAGTTCTTTATCTGGTTTAAATTTTATAAGTGGAGTTCAGGTATCTTCAGCATAATGCAGCTGAAGATTGTTTATCATGTTATGCTAAAATTATAAAATGAGTTATATTTAGGGTTATAATTTTTAAACAATTTAACTGAACCACAAGCTTAAGCATTATTTAAAGATTTTGCCATGCATTCTTGGCAGTTGCCATAGCTGGTGATTGTACCTGAGAACCAGTAATTTTATTCACCTAAAAATTAGCTTAGTAGTTACTAATCAGCTTGCAAGGCAAATATAAAGGAAGAAAATCGATTTAAACTCCGTTTGAAGCTTGTGCCAGGTCATTACTGAGAAAGTCTAATCTGCTAAATAATTAAAGCTCTGCACTTGTGAAGCGAGACGAAAGCAACTTTACAGACGAATAATAATTCTGAGCTGCTGTTGGGCTCTTTTAATCTATAATTAAACTATGCACACTTCAAATGCATGTCTGTGCATTTGTGTGTTGATTTTCAGCTGACTCAAGTTAAAGAAGAGTCTGTAGAATAGGTTATGCCACAAAGTGCCTGAGCCTTGCCAAAGAAAATCAGCAGTTTTTGGAGCCAGCTCCACTTTAATGTGAAAAGAAAACATTGTATGGGAGCAACAGTTTTGGGAACAACATCTACCTGTGCTCTTATTATGGCTAAATAATGCTCCAATACCCTGAGAACTAGTCAAGTGCAGAATGCAGGACTATTGTAGTTTCTAAAAAGGAATAATGGATATTACCACTGCCTACTTTTGAGAGTACAGATACATACAAATAGTTACTAATCCAGCATTTATCATGGTGCTTAAATAAGCACCCATTTAGTTGGTACTTATTTAAGCACCCTGATAAATGCTACACTAACTTGCCAGAGAAGTTACTGTATATAAACAGGGCACAAACCCCACACTCACTACACTGATGATGTTACCTAGTTGGTAATGAAATGTTTGCAAGCAAACAACCAAGCTCAGAAAGATCCCAAAACTCCACAGTTCAATCCTGACTTATAAATCTCCTCCTGATTACAAGATGCTGAGAGTGAGGGCACTAGAGGGAGTGAGCAACTTAAGGTCCAACAATCCATAACTGAAAATTGACTACTGTACATAATTCTTAACTATGGTGGCTGAGTGATTAAGATGGTTGGGCTTATCAATCAGAAGGCTAAGCACTGCCCCCATTTAGCTTGAAGATAAATGTTGATTGGGTAGGGCTACTTGCTTAGTTTTATAATCCAGAAACATTTAATTTTTTTCTTTCTCTTTTCCTGCAAAGAATGTTGCTTTTTTAAAAGATTCTTGTGGTTAAAATATTTCAAACATGTATATAATAAATAACAGTCACAATCATATGGCAGCACTGAGCAGACTTTATCTGATCGTGAAAAAAATCTAAACAATATCAGACCTAATTAGCACCCAGACTGGAGACAATCAGGAAATCCTAGTGTAGGATGATAGACTGGAAATCAAAAGCGCCTCCAGGAAGACAGAATGACAGACCACTGTTACATGGCTTATGTAGCCATTAGGAGGCAAATTCAGCTTTAATGAGATGTTACTTTAATCTAGATCTGTAACAGACATTTTGCGTTGAATTCAATTATGACTGTCTACTGAAATTAGATCAGTATAGATTCTTCTTTTTAGGACCCCATGAAATCTGCTGTTAAATTTTGAAGATTCTCTAGAGCAGGGGTCCCCAACTCCTGGACCATGGCCCATTCACAACTGAGTGGGGTGCACACACAGCTCCATTTGTACAAGTAGCAGGTATGTGCTCACGCAAATGAAGCTGCATGCACATACTGCTCACACAGAACCATATCCTCTCCCCCCCCCCGCCGGTCCACAAAACTGGAAGGTTGGAGACTGCTGCTCTAGAGAGCAGGAGAAGAAAGAGAGGGCAGGAAGATCCACTGCAAAAATCAACATTCACAAGTGCAACATTGGATGTGGTCCAGTGCTTCAAATTTATTGATCTCTAAATCTAAGCAGACCTATTTTTTCTGTATGAGACTGCTCGTTCACTGAAATCTATGAGAGATTTTCTCCTCTATTAAGGAGTGGCTTGTGAGGAGTTTGGAAAAAGCATTTACCGTACTATGGTCAATGCACTGCAAACTTTTCATTACCGTGCAAACTTCTTTTTGATTGATGGGTGTGTTATTTGCTAAACCCTTAAAAATGAATTGTTGTTTACTTTATTCACTACTCTCCCAAGTTTTAGTTATTTTGTATTATTGAAACATTTTTAAGCTGGAGATTTTTTTAGTATAAACTTTGCTTAATTTCTTAAATATGTAGATTTAAATAGGTTAGTTATTTATAATTTTTTCTGCCATCACAGAAACCCCCAAGAACTTCACTTACTCTTCTTAGAGAATAATTTCTTTCGCCGTCCAATGGGACTCAGCTTGTATTCATTCTCATCACAGCTGCAGTCCTCATTATTCTTGCTGTAATACTTGGGCAGAAGATTGGAGATTCCTTTACTACTGTCTGGAGCCATAAGGCTAGCTAGGCCTTTGCATTTATGCAACTTCAACTTCCCATTGGCATCTTCCACACACTGCCATTTCTGGAAAAGCAATAAAAAAAGAAATAATGGAATAGTAAAGAACACATTCCTTCCATATACCTTTATATTTGAAATTAGTTGGTATTATCAACAAGGTGGAAACATAGGATAGTGGAGAAAATCATGCTTGAAAGAGGACTTCCTTATATTTGTGAACCTGTGGTCCAGATCGTGTGAAGTTTTCTGAAGCCAATCAAAAAAAGTAATAGAGCAGGATATGTTCTTTTCTCAAATAACAACTTTCTAGAAGCAGTATTAGAGCAGAATAAGCACTCTTCTAGAATAGAGTGCTTCTTGTTCAATTAAATACTTTGCGATATAGAAAGTTGTGTTTTCCTATTTGGTTTCCTCTCTCTAATCTACTAATTCTAAGTGTAGAGGTGTCAGATCTTCCATCTTTGGCTTGGCACCCTGCTGGCATCCTGCCATCAAAGGCTAGGAGGTAAGTGTGGGAAAGGAGGACAAATGGGCAATAAATATGTATGGGGATGTGATGGGAAATAGGAAGGAGGGGGGAATGACAGCTTGACAAAGACCAGGAAAGCACAGAACCAGCTTGTGCCAACACTCAAGGCCATGCACTCTGAGATTGGAATGTAGTCGTCCCAAACATCTCAGTGTTTTTAAACACCTAGGCAGACTCTTCATTGGCTGAAGATGAACTGGTCAGGGGGGGAGGGCTGGGATAAGGGAAAAATGTGTAACTTTTTGCATGGGAAATTTATTTCTAACCTGACTTTACTGCAGTCACCAGCCTTTAGTAAAAGAACCTATCGCTTCACCAAAATGAACTTGAGGATCTTTCTTTCCGAAGGGACCTGACTGGGGCAGGTCTGACATGAAGAACAGTTGGTTGGTATTATAAAACATGAACACTGACCCTAGCAATCATGGAAACCAGTGCAAGATTTATAGAGCCAAAATGTACATGGGTGCTGTAAATGTCTACATGCACATGCACACCCTCATATACCAAGACATATTGAAGACAAACACAAATCGAACAGTCAGAAACTAAAAAAAGGAGTCTAAATGAACCACAACCAAATCTTGTTTTTCAAAACAAACAAGACCTTTCTTGCAGTTTAGTTCAAAAACTGAAGTCTGGAAGTAAGAACAAAGGAAAAAAAAAAACCATTGTACCACCTCTGCCTGGAGCAACTGATGAGGAAAGATGCCAATGATTATAGAAAAAACTGAACAAAGCATCACTAAGGTAGCACTCATCAACAACTGCAGTTGTTCTATTGTGAGGCAAGAACAATGATGCCATCTAGTTATTTTTTTCAACAAGTATGAGCTTGTAAAATTTTCTGGAGACAATTCATGATTTGTAATGAAAAAGGTTAAGAAAGCAAAGATAATTGGGGGAGGAGGGTTATAAAATACTTATAATTGTTTAATTTTTATTTAAAAATCAAAGTAACAGTGGTATAATAAAACTGCAGGATGCTTCTTCAAAAACAAAAACAAGGGAAAAGCATACTTTTTTATAAAAAAAACCCACTTACTACTACTGTAAGCACACTATAATTTTAGAATGGTAGAAAATTTAAATTCACAATAAAAATGGAAATTTTCCTTTCTGGGTTTTTATAGATCTTCTAGATTGGATCTGCATTAAATGGTAGTTATTCTGCACCTCCTATTGAAAGATACCAGAACTTTGAGTGATCCAATAACAAAAGAGAGTGATAATTCAGAAAAGGTAAATCTCTCCCCTCCCAGCCACCCAACCACCCCAGCACATAGGTTATAGAATAGAATTCACAGAATATGCAACTTTATGTTGTAATGATAACCAGCAACTTGGAAAGCTTTATAAAAGGATTAAACAAATTTATGGATGATGTATTAATATTATCATAAAGTAATAATCACAATAGCTACACAGTACAACTAATCATTGTAACAGCTATGTAAGTTTTCTAGAGACTGTTGGGGAATATCCTTTAGCACTGCATAATGTGGAAATACAATAGTAGACTAGATTTTTTAAATAAATCTTTATTGATTAGCCCTTGGGCCATATCAAAGTGCAAAGTTACAGCAACAAATTATTACTGAAGTTTGATAAAAGCAATTTAAAATGAAATTTGATAAAATGCAGTTTAAAATGGAATTAGAGTAAAATACGACTTAAAATAAAATTGGAATAAAATACAGTCTAAAATGAAATTAAAATAGAGTATAGTAATTTAAAATATAGACAAAATATGATAAAATTATATCTTGGAGTCACCCTTGCAATCTAGTAGACTAGATAATCTTTGGTCTTATCGAACCCAGCTTTTTATATTTTTCTATTACCATCTGAGGGAACTCAGTTTAACATGCTCGAAATCATACCTCAATGAATAGAGTTTGCAAGAGAAAATGGATCCTATGATTCTGTTCTTAGCAAAATATCTTGCAAAAATGATACACTGATCTCCTCTATATGCAAAAGATTCCAATCTTAACAAGTTTGTTCTCCCAGTCAAGGTGGAGAGTATTTTACCAATTTTACTGCCACAAAATTCCCCTGAACATGAATGTACCCACACTGTGTTCAGTTACATTCATTCTTTGCTTTTCACCACCATCAGTTTCATTTCCTGAAGTCCTTTAGAAAATTAAGATAACCCCATCATTTGAGATTCAGGAGAAGCTGTTTGGTGGCAATTTCATTTAATGGCCAAGTCACCTCTGAACTCCAGAGTGCAACCAGATATGCAGTGGTACTATTTATGTGAATGCCCCCAAGTGCCCTCAGGAAATCATCTGGATCCATTAGGCACCTGGTTCAGACTATCTTAATTGGCTATCACCTCTGCAGAGAACAGGCAAAATGATGATCAACTTATGTACCAGTCATAGACAGAGAACTGATGACACCTTTTCATCTTCAGATAATAGTGCTTACTGCTATAAGGCAAACATATCTGGCTTTTGGATTCTCAGTTACTTTTCAATTAGTTAAGAGTAAACTCTTACTACTCAAACCATCAATACAAGCAGAAAAAAGATTTTCCATTATTTAATTGGCATTTAACTATGAAAAGTAATATCATAGTAAAGACCAAATATGGCAGCTGTCCTCTCAGATATAGCTTAGATTCTGTTAATTAATATGCAATATTTAAGGCAAATAAACCTGAAAGAACTGCCTCCTGTGCTAGAGCCCCAGTGAATTCCTGCCATAAATAGTATGAATGACAGAACTCAGCATATTTACTTAATAGTTGTTTAGTACTGCTAAACAGGCCCAGCAACCAGAAGGTTATAATTTAAAGAAATAGTCAATTGGATCTTGACAAGGGCAGGGAGAAAGGCCAGATGGCGCAGCTCATAAATAGAGATTATGCCAGTTGGTTTGTTCCACTGAGTAAATCAAACTCTACTTTCAGCTCTGTTAAATAATATTTTTAGAGCAGTATAAAATGCAAATAAATGCACCAAAAGAGAATTTAGACTACTACCCCAAAGGGCAAGGAATAATTTGGTTGTATTCGTTAGCATGCTCATGTTGATAATATTACAAGAAAAAAAATCATTCCTTTTTTTAACTTTATTTTTGTATTAATGCTTTAATATTCTACACTACTTATAAGAAGCCTTGCTTTTTTAAACACATGTACAGTTTTAACTTTCCCAGTTGTTAGCTTTTAACAAAGTTATTTAAATATGTCCACAGCTGTATGAAAAAATGAAATGAGTAATATGAAAACCTTAGTTAAGTAGGAAGAATTTCCACCAACAAAACTATTTCTGGGAAAATCTTAACGATGTCTCTTTGAGTTTTACTTTTTAAGTATTTGAAAATCATACAGTCAAAATCGGTGGTGGGATTCAAATATGTGAACAACCAGTTCTCTGTGTGGATGCCGCTTCTGGAAGTCCATTCTGGTCCTGGACAACAAAAAATTAGCTACCGGTTCTGCTGAAGTGGTGTGAACTGGCTGAATCCCACCACTGATCAAAATTGTAAAAAGATACATTTTAATATATAGAATACTTATTGTAGCTAAGTACATTTGCACAGAAATGGTGAGAAATGTTACTCTGCAAATATGTTCATCTAAGCTTTTGTACCTCAATCATATTAGACTTTAATGACACATTGTAGAATTTCATGTTATTATTGGAAATAATACAACAGCATTATCAAACAGATTAATAAAATCAAAATTTGCTTACAGATAGGCTTGTTTGAGATGGTATTACATGCTAAAAACAAACAACAATTGGGAACTGTAGCATGAGAAAATGAGAATTTTACTTCCAGTTAAATATTGGCCAAGAAACTCTCCTTTTAAAAATTTGAATATATGTGTTAATTTACCTAAAATAAATAAATTCTTTAAAAAATAAATACATTCTTTTAAAAAAATTCTAAATAACTCAGCTTAGATACCCTTGAAGCAACATGCCCAGCCAACCTTAAAAAAAAGGTCTCAGACCTTACTTTCATCCTTACTCCATTCCTATATCCCTCCCAGCTGCTTTAGTGCAATTTTCAAGGCTAGATTACTTTGGGAATGTGTCTATGGAGATTCTCAGTCATTCAGGTCATGGCTGTCCCAAAGGGGCTTTTTCAAGAGGCAACTGGACTTTCTTGTTTTTCCTTGAATATATTTTGCTTCACATCCAAAAAGCTTCTTCAATTCTGACTGAATAGAGGAGGATGGAAGGATTTATACTCCTTGCAGTCATCTTGTCATTAGTACTCTTTTTGAGAGTCGTTGAGGCCACTTGAAGGTTAGTCTATGCCCTAAGGATCACCTGAATAGTGGAAATGGGTGTGGAACCTTCTTGGAACTGCTGAAAGTTTTTGGGAAGAAATATCAGTGGCCATTAGACTTCATGTTGTTGATGTGAGCTGCCCAGAGTTGTACTTTAAGATGAGCAACCACGCAAAGGAATAAAAATAAACTCATGCTTCCATTGGACATAGTTCCTTAATTATGCTGACATTGAGCTACCTTATTTCTTTAGACAGTTTTATGATGATGTTCATG